GGGACAGAACTTGGTGCCTCTCTGGCTTTGGGGAGTGCGGAAGTCAGGGGCGGGGTGAGGACAGTTGAGGTTCCAGACTTGTGTGGGTGTGGGGGCTTCATCATGATCCTGTCCCAGGAGAGAAGCAGGTGCGTGTGTGTGTTGTGGGGGTTGTGGGGGGAAATTATGCTTTACTTTTGGATGGGGTGATTGAATTCATTCATTCATTCATTCATTCATTCAACCAGTGCTGCCTCCAGCCCCTACCCTCTCCCCAGGCCTTTGCTAGATCCCGAGGCTAGAACGTTGCTCAGGACAGAGATGACAGGCAGGCGGTGACACAGCCAGTCAATAAATGAGCAGGAGCACCACAGACCGCGGTCCAAGATGCGAAGGAACTAACTGGTAGCCTGACCAGCCAGCGGGGCCTCACTCCTCACCTGCTTGACCTCTGACACGACCAGCTAAGCGTCAACCATGATGTGTTTATTTGAGTCAAGACCTGAATGGCCAGAAAGGATTTTGTCCCTATGAGGGGCTGGGAGGAACACCCCAGAGAGGGGAACAGCAAACACGAGGCCCTGGAGGTGAGGAGTTGGCAGGGCGGCACCTAGGTGATGGGGGCCAGTCCACACAGGGCCAGGGCAAGGAGCGGTGGTGGTGGAGGTGGGGGGGGGAGGGGTGCGTCTGAGTTTTAGTCTATGTGCAGCAAGGAGGGTTTTAGGTCAGGGAGTGACATGATTATCTGGGTTTAAAAAATACATGTTTATCCCTTCCCACCCTCTTCCCCCCCTTAAGGGGTAAATTGGTAGTTCAAGATTTGCAGATACAACAATAGCGAAATATATGTATTGCTGCAGTGTTCCCGCCTTAGAGAAACGGGCAGAGGAGGCAGAGGGGTGGGTGGGAGGCTGTCACTGAAGCTGGGGTGGCAGTGGCAGTGGGTTGGGGAGATGTGGGAGGTGCTTGCAGACAGTGGTCATGAGCTCTGATTCAGGGGTCAGGCGGAAGCAGGTGCTGGCCTGGCTCTCCCAGCCCACGATGGATGACCCGGGCCCGTCATGTGACCTCTCTGTGCTTCTGTTTTCTCATCTATAAAATAAGGATCCCCGTGGCATCTCGTCCTGGATCCGCTCTGAGAAGTTGGTGCATTTAGCGCTGACTGGCCCCATAGGAAGGTTCGATAAATGTTGGTCATTGTCACTATTTCCAGAGATGGGAGTGGGATGGCTGTCATGTACAAAGCCAGTTATTCGGATCTGAAACTCAAGAAAGGGATCTGGGTGGGAGACTCATGGGAAGTTTTCAGGATCCACGTTAAAATTAAGTAAATTTTAATAACATACTTTATTTAATCTGCCATACCCAAAGTATCATTTCTGAATGTAATACACGTAAAAATCACGCAGGAGACAGTCTACACTCATTTGCACTAAGTCCTCAGGATCTGTTGGGTGTCCTGCATTTGACACATCTCCCTTAAGACTGGACTCATGTCAAGCGTTTGAGAGCCACATGTGGCCGGTGGCTGCTCTTTAGGACAGCATAATTCTAGAGGATCTTTCGTTTTAGCCTAATATTACAACAGTCGTGTCATCTGGGGTTTCTTGAAGATTTTCTGAAGAATACTCCATGAGTTCCAACTTAATGTTGCTACATCGAGAGACTTTTTTCCAAGTGTGCCTGGGAATTTGTCGGTGCATTTTCTGGCTTTTAAAATATTGCCCAGTAAAACATTAAAAATTATCTTGTGATCCAAACCAAATATACACTGAGCTTTTTCTGGCCCGCTGGTCTCCAGTTTGCAACGGGTTGAGGGTGGTTTCGGAGACCTACGGTAAGGTGGGCAGCCACGAGCTATGGCTATTTAGATTTAAATTAAGAGAAATTAAGTAATATTTAAAATCCAGGTCCTCAGCCACTAGCCACATTTCAAATGCGCCATAGCCCACGTGGCTGGTGGCTGTCGCACCAGACAGCGCGCAGATCACAGAAGGTTACCTACAAAGCAGAGAATTCTTTTTGGCCCAGCTCTGGCCACTCCGGGGTCCTGGGGCTGGGCGTGACAGTAAGGCCGGTTCTCTGCCCTCTGTGCTCCCAGCTGCCCTTCCAGCTGCTGCGGCTGCCCGGTTCTTGTCCCCGCCGCGCCACGACCTGCTCGTGGACACGCGTGGTGTGCGACTAGTTCACCGCGCAGCTGGGGACGAGCTGCGGGCGCCCCGACTGGCCGATAGTTGCACTCGACGCTCCAGCCCTCCACGTGCGCCGCCTGTGGCCGGCTTTCCAGCGCCCAGGCCACACGCACAAGGTTCCGAACCCGGCCTGTCTGCCCTGCCCCTCTCTAGGTCAACCCTGCCGCCTGGCCGCCGCTTCCCCTCTGCGCGCAGGAGCGTCGCGTCCATCGCGCTTCTTGTGGACACCACCCAGACACTGGCTGCTGCTCCTTGCGCCTCAGTTTCCCCACCTGCCCGATGGGAAGAGCCACCCTTGCCCACCTGTGTATCTGGCCAGGTGTGACCTCGGGACCAGAGGATAATGGCGGTGCCACATCAGAGCCAACGGCTGGCCTCTGGCCTTCGGTCTCCCCATTTGCTGATCGGACAGAAACGACCCTCCTCCCACCCTCTGCCGTGCTGGGCAGGGGACGCCGGCGGGACAGCCGGTGGGAAGAGGACAGATTGGGCGTGCCCATTCCTCATGGGACTTCGGGCAAAGACAGCCTCGCCTGATCTCGTCTACTAATCGATCTCCGTTCCAGAGACCGACGGTTCCCGTCGTGGGTGGGAACGAGGCAGGGGGTGGCTGCCTGTGTGGTTCCCGCGCCCTCGTCCCCCTCCCCTCTCCCCCGACAGCTGCTCAAAAAACGCGGATCGTTAGAGCGGCAGGCTCAGAGGCGGCGGAACCTTCATT